TTACGAAGAGTTGCCTGAAAATGGGTCAGAGTTCGTAAAAGTGTTATTGGAAAGGATGGATGATATTCACCACCAAGTGCGTTCAAACTTGAAAACGTCTGCTGATTCGATGAAGCTATGTTATGATAAGAGATCTACTGAAGTTAGCTTTGTACCAGGAGACAAGGTATGGTTGTATAATCCCAGGAAGACCAAAGGGAAGTCTCCTAAGTTGTCTTTTCCATGGGAAGGCCCATATGACATAGTGGATCGTCTCTCAGACGTGACTTTCCAAATAAAATGTGGTTGGTGAGGTAAGCCAAAGGTGGTGCATGCCAACAGGCTTTGGCGTTATCACGGTCCAGGACATTTCAGTTGAAATGAAGTGAACAATGAAACAAATGACGCTGCTGAAGACATGTCACCTGAAAAAGCCACTGTCGAAGAAGAAACTCTACCCGGTTTTGAGAAGGGAAACAGTGAAGCCCTTGATGAAGTTACTACCACTGATGTGATTATTACCGATAATAGGACATTTCCTGATGGAGCAAATGAACCCCACCTGAAGCAGAAGCCGACGAGACGGAGACCAGTAAGGAAGAAGATACGTCCCGTAAAATTAAGAGACTTTGTTGAATTTTAATTTTGTGTTTGTAAATTCTGTCCATTTAATTAAGTTATTGTTAATTTTCTATTGGTTTAATGTAAGTGGCTATTGTGCGTGAATCGTTCGTTGTGAATTATAGCGTGTGTTTAAGTTAAAGTGACTGTGAAAATTAAGTGTATAGCAAAGTTAAATTGAGAAAGAATAAACTAGTTTTATTTAAGAAAAGACTTGTATCGCTAAAGTTTTTCGGAAAGAATTTCTACGAAAAATTAACAAATGAACACAGACGTAACAATATTTTCACACTAGTATAACGGAATTATGAATAGCATTTATTTTATTGGTTGCCTAGATACATTTTTATCTTTAATTAGATATTTTCTTTTACAAGTTCATACTTTAAAAAATGAATGTACTTACTTTAAAAGAATTAAGGGAATTTTAAAATTGTTTTAAATTAGTTCCAATGTTTGTCTTTTCTCTTTGTCGTTGTTTTGTTCTGGTCAAACCATTAGTGTGGTTCCATCTGTTAATTGTTTTTACTAAGCTTTTTCATAGTGAATTTTTTTGTTTTAGACAAAATTAGTGCTGTAGTTTCTAAATGTTACCTGCGTGATGATAATATCTCCACATTTATTCTTCCATAACTAATAAAGAAAAAATATATTTATTAACCTATATTTAGACAAATTTTCTATGTTTTTTTTTTCATTTTTTCATGTAGAATTAGCATCTTCCTAGTAAACTGGATGTACGAAGATCGTAAACATATTCTAATCCTATACCCTACGATAGAAGTAACATACTGCAATGACTATTCAATAGAAGATTGTATTTGCTTTGCTTTTGCCTTCCCCTGGAGTGGGGTTATGCAAATTTTAAGAGATCATACAGAGACCTGTTAAAGTTTGGTTTTCTCTCTTGTGTATTTAGTTATATTATTGGATACCACACTAGGACCCTGACTTAACTGGAAGTGTGGCATTTTTCTGTTCTTGCTTAGAATACTCTCCAATCCCAGCAGCCAGTTACAATCCTTCAGTGACATAAAGAGTATCTAGTAAGTGAAAGACAGCCTCACTGTGTTTTATCTTTATACTGTAAAATAACTTTTAATTCTATTTTGAGACTGGGAACAGTCTCATTTTAAACATTTATTGTATACTATAAACATTGGCTTTATTCCTTTAGTACATCTGTGTGAAAACTGACACAAGCGTCGTCCTAATCTTAAAAGTGCTTACAAACTATCGAGTCGTGATCCCAAGTGTTCACAGGTAGAAAACTCTTTGGACTTTATAGGGTGTAAGAAATGAAGGCCACTAAGGTGTTATTCGCCCATGTGCTAACAAGTAAACATTTTTTTTGGCCACATTCACACTAAGGCATTGATGCAAACACTGTACTTTTTGTGTTGACCAGAAGAAAACCATCCAAGACAGACAGTTGTTCATTCTTCATTACAGAGAATAGTCCTGGATATATTTGGTCCTCTTCTAAAAATGATTGATTACTTTACCAAGTGAGTCGAATTTTATCCATTGGTTAATATTTTAGAAAAGTCCATAGTGTAATAGCATCTCATGTCTAAACATTTAGACAGCTGGCTAGAGATGGCTACTTGAAATTTGAAAACATTTGTAAGCTGACCCTTACTCTCCGTGCTATAAAGTGATATTTCTCAGTAGGATATATGCATTACATCATGTTATAGCTACTTGGTTACATTAGGTGCCAATCAAAGGCATCACTAGACACTGGCTTATGGGGTTCATGCCACGATTCTATTTGACAGTGCCCCGAATCCCCAGTTGGTGTCTTCAAACATCAAAAGGGAAACCTTGATCGATATTATACTGAAATGTCGAAAATTTCCGCGCCTATGGGCCTAACCACCGAATCTTTTAAATACCTAGCGTCGCCTCTGATGATATTTGATGTTGTAAGACGCAATTGCCTAGACTAAGAACCTTCAAAGTTGACGAAGCTGGAAATGATCAGCAAGGAATTCTAGTACATCTGACGGCCGAAAGAACTTTTCAAACACTCAGGTGGAATTTGATGAGCATTAACAAGATGTTTGTGTAAAAAAAAATCACCTAAGATAGCTTGTGTGTATGAAAGTGAATAAGGTAAGTAGTATTTACACACGAGCATGTGAGACCTGTGCTTGTGTTCCACGCATGCAGTTAGAGAGCCTTGTTCTTAATCTGCAAAAAATATGACTCAGGTTGTGGTGAATCCTAGTAGAAAATCCCTTGTATCGGTAGATTTTACCTATATTTTGTCTGTGACGCTAACAAATGGCAATTCAGTGTCATGAAAGTTCGACTAGTGTTTGTGGAAGACCAAGAGGGTAACATACTTTACTGTTGATATTGTAATTCGCTTGTGTTGATAGGAGTCTGAGCTTATACTGATGTACGCTGAAGTGGACAGCATGAATACTAATCTTGACTGAAAAATTTTACTTTGGCTGAATTCCTCCTGTGATTAGTTAGTATATAATGCGTCGAGATTATTGACTCATAGATAGTGAAATAATGCTGGGAGCGCGGGTATTTAGAGGTAGCTGGCGAGATTGTTGCTGTACATAGGTTCTGACGCAGCCTTTCGAATACAAGAAGCACATATGATATGTGACGTTGATATACATATATATATATATGATATTATGCGTATATGTCTATATGTACGTGAGATTTCATATCCATACGAAAAACACGTAAAGCTCTCCACAACTGTTGTATCGAATACATAAATTAGTCACACAGTTGCCAAGCAACAAATGAAGAATTTGATTCAACTGTTAAATTGATGATATATAAAGTGAAACTGTTACCGATTTCAACTGCATCTTCAGCGTATCTAATATTTTGATTTATGCTGGTAAAATAACAGAATATATTCAGCTTTTGAAACTAAAATACTTGTAAGATTGTGGATTTTTCATTGAAGAAATAAAAGTAATTAGAGAACTCACACTACATTAGACAGAAAACAAGGTGGTACTCTTTGTTTTTCATAATATTAATCAAAAATACTTTTGATTCAATGAATCATGAATAAATATTCATGAGCACGTGAAATTATATATAGCAAGTCAAACGTGATACAAATGGCAGAGCAAATTAAAACTTGATGTGTCCAATGTTTATTTGGTCTTCATGTTAAAACACGCAGATAGAGATGTTTCATAAACGACCAGTGGAATGAGATGCTGATCAGTTGGTGAAAAACTTGTACATCATTTTGTACATGAATAAAGATTATGCTCTTCCTACCTTTGTACATATTTTCTTTGCTGTCCATGTTTGAATTATTACTATGGACATTTCTGGAACCTTCAATTTACAAATATTTATCTGTTTGGCATCAATGCCTAAATACACCCTACTAAACGTTTTTGTCAGCTTTTTTCTTCTTTACGACAAGCGAAGCCGTTCCTAATTTTATTTAGAAAAGCTGATCAGGGGAAAGTAGCCAGTCAACAGAACCCACTGTCTATATGACTACTCTAAACTGAATAACAGAACTGATTGTCACTTTCATAATAACTCCACAGCTGAAAGTGTGTTCAGTGACATATCAAGCTACAAACCTTTGGCCTTCATGCCCAGAATTCAGCGCACTAATCACTAGGGTACACCCACCCTATTTACTATTTTCCATTTGTTGCTGATATGATTAGGTTTTTTGTCAGCTTATATTTTCATTTGACCTAGACAAACCAGTACTTAGGTCTCTAAGTGTTTAGCTGTTCCTACTAACTTTATCTTTGTCCATGGCAAACTAGTATTAAGGATCCTAATTGTTAACTCTCCACATTAAACTTTTTGTTTTTTATTTGTTCTGGACAAACCAATAGTGTGTTAACTACAAGACGTTTTTTGCCAACTTTATTTATTATTTGTTCTGGACAAACCAGTATTGTGGCTTCTAAGCATTATCTGTTTGTACTAAGCTTTATTCTCGTCTTTTTATGTCATAGGTAAACCACTATTTAAAAGTTTGTGTTGACTGTCCTCCATCAAGATTTACTCTGGACAAACAAATATTAGTTTCAAAGTGGAACTGCCTCCACGAAGCTTTCTTTATATATGTTTGTACATTTTAATTTCTGGACAAACCATCACTGTGTTTCTAAGTGTTAACTACTCCTATTAAGTTCATGTCAGCCTGCATTTTATATCCATTAAGCATCCTCCACTGAGCTCTCAATGTTTTTATTCTAAATGTTCCTACCCAATATCTGATCTAATTGCTTGATCTGATATTTTATTATTATTATTAATGTGCTTATGGTGTTTTAACCTTTTGCTATAATTACACACTTTTTCCAACAAGTCAATTGTTTGGTAGGAACATATAATTTTTAATTAGTCAGTTAATGTAGATCAAGTTCGGCTCATCTTAAAGGTCTAAATACTGCAGTTCGTGAGAATGATAAAAAAATTAATGGAATCAACACTTCATGAAAAAGAGAAAATAATACTTTATTGTAATCAATACTTTATGAGAAAGAAATAATAATATTTTATCATAATCAATGTTTCATGAGAAAAACAAAATACATTATTGTAACCAACACTTTATAAGAAAGAAAAATAATATAATATATATAATCAACAATTCATGGAAAAAAATACTTTATTGTAAATAAGACTTCATGAGAAAGAAAGAAAAAAATAGTACTTTATTATAATAAACATTTTATGATAAAGAAAATTTATTATTATAATCCACATTTCATGAAAAAAAGATGACTTCATTATAATTAACAAGTCATACGAAATATCCTGATTATAGTCCATACAGCACAAGAAACATATTCATTACACTAGACACATAATGAGGAAAATAATACTATTGTAATTAAAACACCATGATAGAATAAAACATAGCACCAAAGTACATGTGAAACTGATTAACATAGTATTTGCTAATGTATGAAAAACAACTTTGTAAAATTATCAGTTTTATAAGCAGAGTTAATGATAAAAATAAAATGCTAATCTATGACTAGGCTAGCCCCTAAAGAGACTTGTTCCATGTATTTGCTTCTTACACCGATTACACATACAGTTTTGATTATTTTAATCTAAACAGCAAAAATCAAGCAACTGACTGACAGCTCCACAAGAAGCAAAAGCATATGCTTGATTTAGATAAAAAATAATGTCATTGGGTCATCAGTGTCTCTTTCTCTCTGCTTTTCTGTTTGACAGATACACTGTTTTAGCCACTTATGGAAGAGGTAGTTCTATTGTAGCTTTTACTGTTATAACTACATGTACATCCATACTCTTTCAACGCTAAGAAGTGTTTTTGTAGAAAGACTTTCTTCTAAGTACCATTTATGTTAGTATTTAAGAACACAATGTTACTGGAAAATCAATGAATGAAACTAAATCTCATTTTTTATTTTATCGATTTAATGTACCACATTCTGCAAAAAAAAAAAAATATGTATATAAATGCTGCTTCTCAATATTTAAAGATCATATTTCAAGATTAAAACTGCATAATATAAATAAGTAAAACAGGTTGTATCTACTTGAGAATATTTTACTAAAAGTATTTTTATTTCGCTGCACTTTTACCATTTTCTACTTATCCCCTTAAGTGAGCAGGGCATAAATAAAAGTTAATTTTTTGGCTTCAACTCCATGGCTCTCCCATTTATAACTATCAAGCTGTTTCTGTAGTTTCTTGTTCATTCATAAATGGCACACAATTCAACTTCTGTGTTAATGTACATCTTGAAATGGTAATTCTTTTGACAAGTGTCAAAAATTTGGACACTCTTATGAGACACAAACAGGTGCAAGGTACGTACGAAAGGTCAATTAGTGAAAGTTGAGAAGACTTGATTTCATCACGAAACAGGCAGAATCATTGGTCTCATCAAGGAGCATATAAATAACACCCAAGTCCCCAACAGAGTAAAGTAGAGTACTAGATAAACATTCCCCTGATCTAATACCAGAAACAAATAGATGAACTCAACCAAAAGGTGTGTTGTGTGTGTTATAAGAGAGGGAAAAGAAAAGCATCCAGACTGCTGCATTAGTTTATCTAGCATCCAACTACAGGTCATACCACACAAAGGCAAGTTATGTGAACCAAGAGTATCTTTTCACCATCAGGTCAAACAGATAATTTCTACACAAAGACAATCATCATAACTAAGGAAGAAAAAAAGTGCCCACTAAAAGGTGGATTTCTGTTCCATAAAGGCACCCACTTAAGGAATTTATTATATACCCATACAAGTAATAACAAGACCAAAAATATGATCATTTACTGAAACATATTTAACCTCTTTTACAGATGTTTTGTTGTTAATTAAAACTTTTCAATAATTATTTATTCAGGAAAAGTCCTTAAAGTTTGAGAATTGTGTTCAAAAAGCATGAATTAATTACAAAGTAATGAAACCAAGTTACATAATATTAATAAAAACTGTAAAGAATAATGTATCAATGCTTATCATTTAATTTGTGTAGGTTTGGAAACCACAGAAGCCTGAAATGAAACTTGACGTGTATGATTTTTATTTCCTTCCACACTAATAAAACAATATGTAACATTATTCAGACTAAAATGATTCATCATTTTGGTTCTCTGGTATAGTTGCATACATTGTTGATAACAATGGTTTCATGTGTTTTTAACTTCTTCTGACACACAATTTGGTAATAAAACAACATATTACATCTTCACCTATGTATATTGTTCTTGTGTAACAGATCTTTCAATTATTACAAAATTGATCTTTTGAGTGAAAGTAATGAAGAATGTATAATAATATGTCAAACATGTTATATCTGCTGTATCCAAAGCCGATGAGTCCTTTGGTCCAATACCAGGGCTCTTCAAGCTGGCTGGGATATGACAGATATCGTAGTGATCAAGATGTGTCAATATTACACATAGACCTACTATACAAAAACATTAATGGTTTTAAATATTTTAATAGGCTCTTAAATGGAATGTTTAACTGTGTATATACATACATATATATATATATATACTTTTCATACATTTTTATAAATAAATGATTAACTTCTTTCACACGTTTACTTTTTATTTTGCGTTTACTTTGGCTGTTAAAAGCTTTTAATAAAGAATTCAAAATTCTAGATTTCAATTCTTTATAATTGTAATGCATTAAATTATTCATTTTAACACTTATTATCTGGATCATCAATAAATTTATCCATCAAAAATACAATTCCTTTTTTAAAAGTTATAACCTTTCTTAACCCAAAAATAAAAAGTGCAAGTTTTACATTGTATTCTGTTAAAGATGCTATTTACATACAAGTACAACAGTAGTCACTGTTAATGTCATTACATCTCACAGTTCTGTGTTCAATACAAAATACATAAAATTTTCATCAAGCTACAAAAATCAATGTGAGTTCTTGTTGGAAACTTTCAGATGGTGAAATAAACCTAAGGAAATAATAATAATATTTCAGTGAAGTATTCACACTGTTATACTCTTCTTTAATACTTATGATAATTAAACGAAAACACTAAGTAATTTTAAATTATAGTTTTACTAGCTAACATACCAATTCAATTCACAAGAAAGAAGACAACATGGGTTTCTGGAAGTGACATGAGAAGGTCAGATCCAAATTCTGATCCCCTGTGTCACTACACGAGGGGGCTCTAAGGGTACAGGCAAGGTTTGGTGACACAAGTCCAGCAATTTGGCACTTCTAAATACAAGTGCACACATACCCACAAAGTTTTGTAAATAACGATTTGGATGTGGATAACAACATGCTATAGATGTGTTATTCTTCTGTAACCCAGAAAATTATTTTAAAAAAATGAGACAATGATTTGACATTCACATACAATTGATAAGTTGTTTGGTTATAGTAATGCTACTGAGGCTACCTGCTGCCATCTTTAATTTTGAATTGCCAATCAAAGGGAAAACAACTGGCTGGAATTATCCACTGCCAACTCTTGGTTACTCTTTACCAATGAATAGTGGGATTAACCATCACATTATAACTCCCCCCCCCCATGCCTGAAAGAATGAGCATCTTTGACCCCAGATAAATAAAAGGAAGCAAAAGAATCAATAAGAGTTAAAAATAATCATTTAGTTAAGTACCTTGAGCAGTTTACTCCATGAATAATTTGTAATATTTAAATGTAGAATAAGCATGCAGTAAGGATTTTTGAGTTAAGTAAAACATCTAAAAAATAAACTGAATTTAAAACAGGAAAGAAAATTTAGAGAATCATTAACAAAATAATATCCGTAATTCAGTTCTACCTGTTCTCCAGTTTCATCTAAATCTAATAATTTCATACATAAATAATGAAAAAGAATTGAAATAGGGTTTACTGCTGGAGCTCATAACATATAAATATGCAATCAATTAATGACAAAGGAGAGACAATAAAATTATTGATGATATTTAATATACAGAGTTAAAAACTTTCAAGGCCAAAGGAATGTAAACAATATCACTACTCTGGCTATTTAAAACCAGTTTACAAGTATGGAAGAAAACACTTCGATAAAAACTCAGTTCTGACTCTTACATGACCACCACTGTAACAAAGTGAAGTAAGATATTATTTTCTTGGCATTTGTGTATAATGTTAAAATAATAACTAAATAACACACAATGTTAAAATCAATACACAATTATAAACATTTCTAAAATGTTGACTCTACGTTTTGACGTTTACTTCTGATGATGAGATGATAAATGTCAAAACATGTAAGAGACCAAAGTCTGGAAATGTTTTTAATTGTTCATTAATTTTAATGTTGTGTGTTATTTATTTATCATTTTAAAGTGAAGTAAGCCTGATCATGTGAAAGCATACAAGAACTGAAGAAAAAAGAATACTTTTTATGGTAAAATTTCCAATACCAATTTATTTGTATACTGTTATATTAGAATCAATTCACACTGTACAGAAAGTTCCAAGTGTTAATTTTTCCTATGAATATATACACATATTATTTGACATAAATTTATACACACCCTTTTCAGCAATACCCTTATTCTTTGGGTGTCACCTGTTAGGCCCAGTATCATTCAATGCTTCTGCTGTCATCTTCTCTATTTCTGATATCAACTGTTCTGTCTCCAAGTCAAGTTGACTCATCTGTACACTAGAAAATATTGTAAAAATTTCAATTTTGCTAAGAAACTAAATCCAAATATAGTGTGCTGAATTCTGCAAGGAAAAAAACTACATCTATACACATGCAACTTGAAGAACATTCGTTTTATTTACCTTGTAAACTCTCCATCCCACTCTAACTCATTGCCATTTGAGGGAGGAGTTGACCTAACTGATCTGTTACTTGTTGTTTCTGATACAAATGTTGATGCTATCTCTTCCTCAGGAGCTGGCAGGGTTAGCCCTTAAACATAAAAAGTAATTTTATAGATTATAAAAGAACTGACTATGAATCTCTACATTCAGGCAGTGTTAGGCCCTGATATGTGTTATATATATATATGTGTAAAGGGTATGCTTTAGTGTAGTATTCTGTGAACCATTTCAAACCTTGTTCCTTGTGTTTACTTAGCCATGAAAATTTGAACTCCATTATCTTAATACTTAAAATCTTTCAGCTTAGTTGCATTTTCTACTGAGGCTATTTTTTAGACTTTCTTAAATTCAGATACTCCAAATACATAAGACAATGGGCAACAGCCTATAATTAAATGTTTCAAAGTCCAAATAATATAAAAAATTACAAGTAGCTTTATCTGATGCAATATTTTGAAAAGATATATTTTATTATTAATCAATTACATCCAACATTACTGGGATCAAAAATTTAAAAAACTTGTACAAATTTAATTTTTTTTTCAATAAAAAATAATAATGCAGAAACAGGTGTGTTGTTTTGGAATGATGCAGCCTGAATTGGAATAGTTGGCAGTATTTTACAGTAATACAAGCAAACTATTCCAATAATTTATAAAAACTAGGTAACAAAAGTTAACTAACATTATACATAATACTTTCTCTTACTGATAGTTGCTTTTTAATTTTTAGAAATTACATAATAAATTTAAAGGTTTCTTTTGTATTTTTAGCATCAAGACAAATTTACTTTAACTTTATAATATTACTGAAAATAACTTGTACTATTGATAAACTTTAAATATTTTGGTATTTCTACCTGCTTCATCTTCCCATTCTAAGTCTATTGAGGAAGGTGGAGTGGTGTTCAGAGTTGTCAGCCGGTCCCTCACCAGAAGGTGGTTAACACTACTACTTAGAGACTTCTGGCCTGATGATAATGGTAGAAATTGTGATGAATTCTATGTCAATTTCACTTATTAAATACAAAAATAAGATCTGAGCCTAAATGGGAAAAGAACTGAAGAGGCAGCTTTGTGGACAAGCTCATTCATTTATGATATCATGATTGAACGTTTAATTCCAACATATATTTGATGTTATTTGTTTGTTTCCGAAAATGAAAATCAACAGATGAATAAATCTGTCAACTCCCTGTAATATCAATGTTATTTTAGATTATTCTTTCTAATAGTAAAGTCATATTTAATTTCCTACTACATTAATAACCTTAAACATGAAGACATGATAATCCTAAAGTATAAAATTAACAATTTATACACATTGCAACAATCATCATATGATAATAAGTTTTAACCTTCTTGCAATTAAGTTCACAAATTACTAAATACAGCCAATTAGTGTTTTTGAACATAATTATATTTAGTTTGAGCAAAAAAGGAAAGAAAATAGAAATGTAAACTCATAGGATAGTTTTTAATTTAAAAATTTTAACATGTACTTTACAATTCACAAATTATTTATCGAAGATTTTGCGACTTTTTCAGGTTAGGATATTTATGCATAAAATTTCATGTGACTTAAAACTGATAATCCAGTTTTATGTCTTTTAAAGCTTATTTTCATACAATGTATTCTTTAAAGTTATTTGTAAAAACTGACCACTTTTAAAGTCATACACACATACAGAAATCATAAGACACTTATATAATAAAGATTTTCCAACTTTTTCAGGTTAGGATATTTATGCATAAAATTTCATGTGACTTAAAACTGATAATCCAGTTTTATGTCTTTTAAAGCTTATTTTCATACAATGTATTCTTTAAAGGTATTTGTAAAAACTGACCACTTTTAAAGTCATACACACATACAGAAATCATACGACACTTAAATAATAAAGATATAGATCCAGCCCAAATTATTCTTTAGTGTTAACCCTATGTGCATGGTTGGGGTCAAAGTACACGTGTTATGACCTTTTAGTTACATTTAAAAATTTAATTAAACTCCCTATTATCAATGTATAACAATAATCTTTTAATCAAAATGCAGTTAATAAATCAAATTTTAATATACGCTTTAACTTCTTAATTTCAAAAGGAAATATTTAAATAAATTCTCAATCTCCACTTCTCTGTGTCACATGACACTTGTTCATTCTAGATTGTCCATTTTAGATATTTGTACTACCCCTATATGATGTCTTTAGTTTAACATAAATTACATATTTGTAGTTTACATACTGATAAAACAATCTGGTTTTATAGGATCCAATCTTCTTGCTTTATGGAGAAATAAACCAGAAAATCAAACCCACATGTCACACCCTCCCACCACATCCTTTTTTCAAAAAATGTCATTAATTCTCTCTGACTTTTGCTATTAGATTATTTAAAACCAATAGAAAGAGGGGATTTCAATTTACTGATTTCCATACAAGGTTAACTTGTTCTCACAATGATTTTTAAATTAATCGGCCTTCAGATTCATTATCATCACCTAGGTGACCTCCACCAGTAAGAGAATTACGTTAATCCACATATAGCTTAGAAAGCCAGTTAAATTATACCAGTTTTAGATCATTGTATTTTTCTCCATGTTAACATTTTATGTTCTTAATTGCATATTTGAAATAAAAATTATTTTACATATTACTACCATCACTACAAAAAAGTTTTCTCGGGCCAAGAGAAGAAAAATGAGGCCAAAAGTAATTGCTAAATTTCTTGTTTTTATGAATATTTTTATTTATTGTTATAAAAGTAATTAAAATGTAAAAATTAGAAATATTAGATAAGAAAAAAAACTAAACATTTCTCAGATAATTATGCAAACAAGCTCCTCACATATTACCATAACTTGAACTATGCACTTCATGGGTGATTTATGGCTTTATTAAACAGGTTTAGTTAGTTCAACATGGTTCAAAGGTAAATAAAACAATAAAATTAAATGAAAGATGTAAAATGTTACACATCCAAGGCTGTTTAAGATAAATATCTGTAATTTTTGTTACAATCAGTAGTTATTTTAAAAAGAAAAACTGGTAACTTAGATTGTTTTGTTGTGGTTAGTTAAATGTTTCAAGCCCATATAGTGTTACGGTAGAGAAAATAAGAGATATGATACAAAGATTTTCTGAAAAACTTTTGATAATCCTCGAGAAGATTCTTGAGGTTATACAAATAAAATTTAGAAACCGTAACAAGAAAGAATGATTATTCTTAACATGAAAATCACCTCATTCTCAGACTAGTCAGACTCTGAATTCATGAATTCACAGACTGAATAGAAATACATAAAAAATTCTGATTTTTTATTTATAACTTACTTGTAATGCTTACAAAAAATGTAACAAATTTTGTGAAGATACACTAAGTAAATTATAAAATATAGTAAACATTAAATTTCCAATACAGCCTTGGTCCAATAAACCAACCAAGTGCATGTAGGGTTAGCAACAGCATCTTCAAAACTGACCGATTATATCTGTGTAATTCTAGGATGTATCTATGGAAATAATTAAATATTTAAATTTGAACACATAAAAACACAACAAACTTTCAAACAAATATGTGTATATATAGTTAAGTTTGTATTACATGCTCCTTTAAAGTGCACTACTATATGTAAAACAAAGCTTGAGTGACTGGCTTCAGCTGTCGAGTACATCTGTCACATTTTTTTAAAACATACATTGTGTAAACATACAGAAGAAAAAGACAATTCATTACAAAATTGCCCAAAACAACAAATATACTTGCCAGTAAAAAGTGGAACCAAAGATTCATCCTGGACTTTGGAATGATCAGAAGAAGAATCAAAATCATCATTACCAGCACTGTACAAAGGGAAACAAGAGACAGAACTTAATAATATCATGCAAAAGGCAGAACTTAATATTATTTAAAACATCACAAGAGAAACAGAGGTTTATTGATATTATTTAGAAATATCACAAGAGAAATAGAACATGGTTAATACAGAAAACTGTTCTCAATCTATGGTAACAAAGTGCATATCCAATAACCTTGCTCCTGGACATCCATGTGGCTAAACAGGTTAAGAGCACTATCTTGTGGCAATTCAGTTGAATGCAATGACATGCAAGTGCAGATGGTGTCTAAAATTGATCCCTTCTGGGAGGTTTACATTATTGAACTTTAAAATGCAAATATAAAGGTAAAAAATTTTAGTGTTTTGAAAAATAAGATTTCTGTAATATTGAACTTCATCTGTAAAGCATAAAAAAATGTGATTAAAACAGGAAACAAAACAGGATATTCCCCAACAGGCTAATAAAAGTAGCACACAGGAAATAGCGAAGAAAGTCAATGGCTTGTCAACAAAAGTAACCCAAGCACTCAGTGGTCTAATACCTCTAATAGAATTATAGACAAGATAATTAACATGGATTGAGCTCTTAGAAAAATAACAGGAACTAAGTTCACCAAGTTTCCCAAAACACATATATGAATGGAAGAACAACTTTTGAAAGTTGGCATATGACAAATAGATCAAATTTTATCACATTGGATGAAACATATGTCTACTTAAGTATCTACAAAAGTGTGGGCAATTTATTATTGTTCTGCTGGTGATATAGCATTTCAAAAATGATACAAGCATACCACAAAACTTCTTCTGAGAGATTTATGATGATTTCAGGTCATAGCTATAATGGTAAATTAAAAATCTAGAGAATTGAAAAAAATAAACTCTTTCAAGCTAACACATTGACACCCCTATTCCACGAAGAAATACCAACTTCTTTATTGATTGGATGCCAATAATGTATAGCTCTATCCAACAAAAAACCCAGCCATTTGCAAATCTGAGTCAACGTGCCAGCTTCTGCAAAGTGCACGTACAAAAAGAAGTTCATGCTTTATCATTTGCCGAATTTTTATGGATTTCTATCCTTTTGGGTTGCTCAAATGAGTCCTCAAAAGTCATTTCTGTTGATCGACTTTAGAAAACGTGTAAAGAGGAAAATGACAACAGTGATCATTATGTATTGCACAAAAGCCTTTTGGTGTGGAAATTATGTTGCAGAGCAATAGTTCATAACCAAAACCATCACACAAAACACCATCAGTGTTAAAAGTAAAGGTTGTAAGGCCTATACACTCATCTCTATACCATTACCATAGACTAGAAACACCTCTCCGTATTACTCAACAAAATGACCAGAGAAACATAATTTGATTAATATTACTTAGTGATCACATCAAACACAGAGCTTAGCATCACACAAAAGGATGATAAAAGAGTGAATAAAATTATAAAAAAAGAGAGAGAGAGAGATAACAGAACTTAATTATTTGAAATAGAACAAGATTGGCCTTATTTACAAACATCAGAAGGAGAATGAAATTTATTACTTAGAAAATATTGCATAAAAAACAGTGTTATGCCATATAAAAAGATGATAAGAAAAACAGTTCATAAAGTTAAGAAATGTCACATAATAAACAGAAACCAAGGACTCCCACTCACCCTATTTGGCAGCGACTATCTAACTAAGAACATGTTGGGTTTATACTTTGTTACAGAGACTTATATGTGAAAGTATCATACGTGCCTGGAATCAGGAATTAATACTATCTGCAAACTCCAAAATTTTATTCAGCAAAATGTCTTATACTATTTAATATAAAAAAACTGATATTACGAATAAAAATAACATATATAGATGGATATATACATATATATATATATATAAATTCACTCTCACATGTGCCAATTCTGAGGATCATCTCCTAACCATCGAAACTGATCACTGTGAAAGACTAGCCTAGCTGGGTTCATAATATCTGGTGATTGAGCAAGTCTTGACATCTTTGCTGCTTCCCGTCTTGCTTCAATAGTAGCCGCATCTTCCATTTCTAATATTTCTTCCTTCTGTAGAAGCTATCATTAAATAAATAAAAAATCACAGAAGATTCCAAAGTTATTTTAGTATCCCTGTAAAACAAAAACATAAAATATAAAAAATTTTAATGTATTTTTTATTCTGCATTATGAAAAAAAAAAAAACGTATTTTCTTCAGGAACCATATTGCTAAGTCTCTCATTGGGTTAAAAATCTACTAATACAGCCAAGAAACTGTAATGAAATGACTGTCTTAAGTTATCAGTTATGAGCAATACCTTCTTCACAATGGAGTAGTTTCAGTATAAGCATAAATAGAATTGAAGTTAAGAAACAAAATTAATTAAAGTTAAGTAAAATTTGTTTTAATACATATTTAATGTAAAAAAAAAAAACTTTAACAGAGAAAACACATCTCATGGCTTCAGTATCTACCTCACTGAAAACCTGGTGATCTTGTTCCCTTTGTTCTTCCAAAAGTAAATCATAATGATGACTTTCAAGTAATTCCTTTTCATGAGGCGTAAGAACACTGAAAATAAGTTACCGACATGCATAAAAAGAGAAGAAAAAATTAACATTGGAACTAAAATAAATGAGTAAAAAAACACAAAAAAGTTTAAAAACTTTATTAAATAATCAGACTAGGCTTTAAGGCAAACTAGCAGCAGTTAACAACTGATCAATCTGCAACATAAGAATTGATACACATAAACACATAAAGCTTCAGCACAAAGCATAGGGAGACTAAATCGTAGTCAGGTACATCAACAACAAAAATAAAAAAAGTGTTTCATACTTGAGTTGTCTTTTAACTACTCAGTAAATTATTATCATGCTCAATTAACAAACACAATGGTTTGAAACAAAAATCTATATATTTTTCATGCAATGGCACTTTTTTATGAAAACTATTTTTGGAGGGGTGGAGGTATATCATGGAAAAATAAGTGTATAAACAAATATTAAACCTTGCACATGCATCACAATGAATTCTTAAGCCTCATTTATAGAATACAATATATATAAGGAGTAAAGATAGAAAACTTCCTGAAATTATATTTTTTCTTCTAATATTTCTGTAACACTTGTTTGAAGGTAGTGGCTTTGATACAGTAACAGTTAGTTCCAGTTGTTACTTGCTACATAAAATATATGTTGCAAATAAGTTGCTCGTGCACTGAACCAACAGAAACATATATTGAGAACATTAAAACTGTTAGTCATAGCATTGTTTTAAATATAAACTGGGAAACGTTAAGCTGCTAGTGATGACATTATTTTAAACAAACTGGAAAACATTAAGTAGCTAGTCCTAGCTTTGTTTGATTATTAACTGAAATACATGTTTCAGCCTCTTGATTTTTCAAACAAATTTTTTTTTGTCTTTTAAAGTTTCTTTTACCCTGCTATTAAAATCACAAACTCTTTTTTTGTAATTACAACAAAGAAGTTTAAGAAAAAATATCAGTATTAACAAAGTAATATATCACTAGAAATAGTTAGCTTTATTAGTGGATGCCTTGAAATATGATCCTTCTTTAAACATAACAGCTTGTAGGCTGATCTCTTAGGTACTGAAACTTAGTGTATATCTACCTTATAATCAATAAGTACATGTTTACAGATATGAGCACTGGTCTACATCTTAATAGTTTAACAAAATTGCCCAATTAAATATTAATAGTTTACTTCATATAATGGCAATTTCTAGAGACTGCAATTTCCTCTTCATCTTCCCACTCTATCCTCTCTCTATAACATACAAGCATATAAAAAAGATACATGCTTGTGATTATCTTAATGGGACACTACTCCGTGCTCATACATTTTACTAAGTGTTGCAAAATTCTATTACTAGAGACAGTTGAAATCTGTGGAAAAATATGCTAAATGTTTGCAAATTTTAAATAGGTATCTATGGAGAATCTTCTGTTTTTAATATTTGCAGTAATAATGGGTTATTATAAAAACTATTTTAGGGGTAAAATAATTTCAATTTAATGTATCAAGAATTTGTCTGTAAAATCAAACAGAAATACAGAACTTTATCTAAACATTACAAATAATTATGTTATAAATAATATACATTAAATTACAGTAATTTGCTCTATAAATAATTAAAGTTAACATTTTTCTTACCTGAAAATATATTTCCAATTGATACTAACCTCTTCACACAGAATAGGTTGATCCCTCAAGCATCTGCCTGTGAAACTTGCATGTCACTAGCCTTGAGCTACCTACAACCTAAAAAATGTGTTTAATATGAACAGTGCTAGTGCACAGTGACATTGTCATGTAATGATAGCTCTCCACCAATAAGAGGTTAACACAATCTCCTTGCACAGTGGCTTTCCTTAAGTAGTTGCACTAAAACTTGCTCCATTCTTATACAAGGCAAGAAGAAAGTACACTGGAAGTGGGAAGGATGGATGTGAAGGTGTGCAGAGATATCTACTAGAAATACATTTGCATTATTACTGCAAATATACCTCACCTCTACACACAGAATCCCATATCAAAATGGTGGAGAAGCCAGTGCAAACATTAAATTTAGATGAGCTCCATTCAGAAAACACCAGATGTAGAAGCCCATAGAGTGTGACACTTAATGATACGGGCTCCATAGGGGTATACCAGTGGGAGATCACATCTCATTTTGACCAGGGTATACTCTTCACTCAGAAGGAAAAAAGGGAAAGGCAAAAAAAAACATATGTTACATGGAAGGGTTGAATGTTTGTAAGACCAACTAAGAACCTGCATACAAGTGGTCAGCAAGCCAAGAAGTGCAGTGTGTTTAGGTGCAACCAGGCCATACTGTGTGTATCTAACCTCAACTCAACTGGACAGACCAAGACAGGGGATAACCCCATCATGCTGCAGGAGGAAAGCACACTAGCTGTTTGAGGGGTGACTTGCACTAAACAGTGCCACAACTACCCTACTTCCCACTATATTGTGCTGTACACAATCAGTGAGGAACTCTCCAGAGGCCACCACCCCAGCAGCTAGGAAACTGAAGTAGCAAAGGTCTCCCATGCTCCTCTTGAAGAAGGGGGAGAATCTGCACTGGGGGAGACTCAAAGAAGTACCCAGATTCCTATCAAATGTTGCTAGAGAGGTCTTTTATCCGAGACAGTGCAATGGGTAATGCCAAAACCCTGTATTTAAAATTAGGCAAGCATAAGCCAAAGAATTGGTCATCACTTCCCTGGTACTGGCTTTTTCCATTTTAGTCCATAGAAGGTACGGTCTGGATCAGGTAACTGAGTAATTTTAACACTTTGATAATACCCCTAGTGGTCTTGCAGCACACTCCATCTCGACAGTGAACACAGTAGAGCCAGGGCAGATGGGATGAGCATTTCCCTTACACTGGCCCAATGCGGATTTTGGGAAATTAGTATGCCATGGGAAGCAACACCAGCCAGCTAGCAGAATCCTATAAGAGGGAAGAGGGTGAAATGACAGTAATTTAAAACATACTTATCCTTCTCAAAGACAGTGTGTAGTTTTAACAAAGAACAGTGTCTGGAGAGAGCTGAAACCCCACAGGAGATGAAACCACCAGATGACAAAGATAATGGGAGACAATGTGTGTGTATTTGTCTATATGGCAGCCTAAAGGATCTCATCCAAGGGTCAGTGAAAATGAGATGCATGAGTGAAACAGCTGATGAATCTGATGGGACAAGATGTGAAAGAACAATCACCCACCAAAGCAGCCGAAGTCTTAGGGAGAACAGCCAAATTGGGTAAAAGAGGAAGTAACTAAAGTGAAAGACTGCAGTAAACATTAATGGCACATACATCAGAATGAATGAAACCACAGGTGAGAAAGAACTATGTCTTCAGAAAAAGATAGTGTAATCAACATGAAACCAATGCCTCGAATGAAGCACATGTAAGATGTTATAAAAGCACTTCAAAATCCCAGTCAGGCACGGGAGTGGGACGAGGTCATTGAAGAAGGATCAGAACAAGGTGGAGAGGACAGGGGAAGAAAAAAATTTGATGTGAATGAGAAAAGTGAGATGTAGTTGACAAAGTTCTTAAATAAATAGCAGTAGTGAAAACCGATAATGCATGGTCAAACAACCATGTGAAAAAGGCCAAAAGTTGGGCCACAGTAGGATGGCCCAGAGGAATGGAGTGTCTGATGGATCAACATTGAAAACTCACCACTTCCATTCATAGACAGACAGAGTTGAAGGACAGAAGGAATGGGATAAGAAAAAAGGCTACATGATTGGAGAGTCCAGTCCTGTGAGCAATGGACTAGGTAAATCCTACATGCGAACACACACTTACCCTAGATGAAAGATAATTGTGTGGTTGGAGCAAGGAAGAATAGTACTGGAGCATAGGAAAAATGGGCCTGGAAACCAACTGACAAAGAAGAGGAAATCAGGGTTGTGTTGGCCAAAGAGGCACCACCAATATGACCCAACAAGTAATGTCACATATCAAAGTGAGGACATGAGGGAGAAAATGAAGAGGAGGATCAGCATATGGAAGAAGGTTAGACCAGTCCTGGCTGAAAGCATCAATCACCAGGACCAATAGATGAGAAACTAGGGGCTAGAAGAGGAGATGTTTGGTGTTCAGAGGAGTAGAAAAAGACATTTATGAGAGGTGTGTCCACTGAAAGCAAACCTAACAAAAACTAGCGGGTTGGAGAGATCACTCCATGGGTAGAATCCTGTCCACCACCAAGTTCAGAGCCCCCAGCAAATGACAAACCATAAGACGAACTCAAAATGGAAGGCCTAATGCTTGGAAGCAGAGAGTTATGAAAGAGGTATTGCCCTGCTTCTTGATATAAGAAACAACCATATCATTTTCGATGACGAGGAACCCACTTTGAGACTAATAATGGCTGGAGACGGCTTAAATGGGTAATGAAGAAAAACTT